TATATATATATATATATATATATATATATATATATATATTTCATTTCAATATCGTAATATATAATTTTTATTACACTGTTGGAAGTTTAATTAATTTCAGTGTGATTATTATTATTATTTGAGACTGCTTAATATTTCAAATGAACCTGATTAGAATACTTTAGGTTAAACAGATAAAAAGAAGAGCAGAAAAAAATATGTGAAACACGCAACAAGGTGTGATAAGTTTTATATTAAAATATATTTTACTCTTTATACAGTTTCCATATTCCCTTAAAATATTAACAGAATCCACCACGGTGTCTCCACTAGATAATTGATGGGGAACAGCAAACAGGGGAAAATATGTTTCTCAAACTTCTTCAAACCCCCAAATAAGTTACCCAGACCTAATCCACATATCAAACACAAACAGAGTTAATTAAATTATGTTTCCCAGAGGAACTGCATATTCACCAGAATGAATATACCTACACAAGTGCCCCTCAATTGTCATTCTAGAATCAGCACATGACATCACAGACAAGCTCCCCTTTTTAAAAAACTGCTGCTGTACCCCATTTCTTTGCAGCCTGCCCCTAAATGCAAACTGTTTTGATTTTAGGAATAAATATTTTTTTTTTCTTACAGTTGTCTAGATCTCATTTTTATTTAATCTTTCACACCATAGACCCAGCTTCTGGCAAAGGTTAATTAAGAATTACAATAGGTTGGGATATAATGTTCCTACAATACAGAAATGCAATGGTGGTAAAAAGATGAAAAGTTTTAATTGTGGGAAATTAGGTTATAAGGAGAGCAAAGCTTCATAAAATTACTGAAGTTATCTAGTTTTCTAAAAGTAACTTGGAAGGAAAGCCAATTAATAAAATAAATGTCTATTCTCTTTTCCAAAATGAAAAAAAAAAATATTCCCATTTTATTTTGTTTTGGTCAGTTTCCATCTCATTTATTGGTTCTACTTCTGGGCACTGCAAAAGTGTTGGAACAGATTCAGTAAATATCAAAGAGAATAATCAGAAAACTAGAAATTAAACTCTACGCAGAGATTCAAGAAACTAGGAACCAAATAGAAATATCACAACACTTTTTAAGAACAAAAAGGGATGCAACTTAAATTTGTTTTGCATTTGAGAGGATAAGATACAAAATAATGTATATATGTCACAGGAAAACAGATATCAATTGAATTTTATAGGGGGGGGGAGTAGTTACAGAAGTTACAGAAGTTTGACAAAGGAATTTATTACCTATAGTATTGGTGAGTAGAAGCTAAATATGCATGTGGCAAGAGTACTTTAGATTCCTGCCTTGTGCAATGGTTGGACCAGTTGCAAAAATGGTACCTTGAAAGTTGTTGACTTGAAGGATAGGCCATTTATATCAAGTTTGGTGCGAAGAGTTATGTTATCTTAGTATTTTTTTTTTCTCTCTGCTGCTTTCAAAACCAGGACAATTATAATACAACTGAGATAGCAATTTTGGAGCAATGCAGTCCTGGATATAATACCTTCAGCATGGTAACTATGTATAATGTATTCACTAATGAAAGTCTCTGTTTTCATAGGACCTATGAAAATCCCTATAGTCTTACTTCGAACTCTGTTGGAGAAGTGCAGGCTTCAAATAGGTCAAGAAGTCTAACACTTTGCTAGGGCAAAGCTCTTTAAAAAAAGAAGGTATGGGAGGAACATAATTCATTCTGACTTTCTCATCAGTCACCCGAAGTTCTTTGCCTATTGAGAGTAGAGTAACATTCAATCACCCTTCCATATTTCCCCCTTCACTCTCCTCTCCTCAGCTTTGGCTCCTGCCTTGAACACTGGTGTAGGTGGGGGAGATCAGAAACAATATTAGATTTGTCCAGGCAAGGTGAGAATACTATCAAAAGGGGACACTGAGTTTAACTGATGGGCATGGAATGTCATCTCAAAAGCAACAGAAGTGCATCTTTAAGCAGATTAACAAAGAGGCTAGTTGGTTATGTGTGCCTGGATCTGCAGGAATGCACATGGATATACACCAAAACCAAACTCCTTCAAATAATCTATAGGATTTTCACCTGCTATGTGTTTACAATTGACAATTTTAATGTTTTTCTTTATGCTGTAAGGTGTCCAGAGTTGTTAGATACAAGATGGGCAGCAAATAAATTTTATAAATAAACAAATAATTTTCAATTGTATCACTTTTAAACAACTCAGCCTCTCAGTTGTAACTGGAACAAATGAACAAATGAATGAATGAACAAATGAACAAATGAATGAATTTCATGTGATAATCTTCAAACAAAAGTATTCCAATTGTTCCAAATACGAAATGCCCTTCTAGATGATTCATAGGATCAGGCTTCTAACTTTATTTATTGTTTTNGGATGATGATGTGATTGGGGAGGAACTTGGGCCTGTTCTGGAGTCTGGGGAAAGCACTGATAGATGCTCTGTGTCAGATCATCTGACATTTCCCAGCCACTGGAGAGCCAGCTACCTTTGGAGGCTGATATGAGTGAGGAGGAAGAACAGCTGGGGCCTATCCCAGATGCACGTATGCGCAGAACAGTTAGGAGAAGTGAACAAGGAGTCAACTCGGGAAGCAAAACACATGTGGATGCTGAATGGCCCCTCCCTGCCTAGGGAATAAATAGAAGGAAAGGGGAGTGGTTGTCATAAGAGATAACAGTTCGTATTTCTGAAGATTTTCCTCATTGTGTTTCCTGCCTCAAAGACTCCTTGCCAGAACTTAATTTGCAGCCTTTCATCTGGGAGCTCACAGCTTTGCAATTAGTGCAAGGAACTGATAAGGTCTGTACTGCAGTTAACTCCTTGAAGGACTATTGCCTGAACTTTTTGGGGGTGAATGAAATTAATTCACAAGAGGTAAATAAAGAGAGGTTTTTCATGACAAGGAGTCTGTTTCTTGCTTCTGCTAAGGCTAGGTCAGAACAGGCATTGCAAATGTCTCTGGGGCGCAAAGATTATAAACTTGACATCATTGTCTCATCTGGCTTAGTCCTTACCATAATATCTATACAAACAAGTGTTAAATTTTGTGCCTATATCACAGATGGAGAATTTTGGCATGTCATATTTTCTGTAAGCTCTCTACAAATCACTTTCTTATCCATTAAGCATACCTATTACTCATAATAGGAGAAGGAAAAAGATAGAGATATTCTATCAAAAGGAATTAAATATCCTTCATTTTCCAGATAATGAAAAAAAACCCATCTTCAAAATAATTCACACACAAAAGCACAAAAGCGGGATTCAAAAATTGGAAGGAACTGCCAAAATATTCACAAGAGGAAAAAAGGACACAAAATAAAGTCTTTGTTTCTGAGTCAAACAAAAATAGACCTGCTTAATTTTTAAATCCCTCAATGGCAAATGCTGTTAACATTTGTACGGATTAAAAGCATCTGTATTTTTACCTGAATTCCAGCTCCTTCTGGCACTGTGATCTTCCACACACAATTCAGATTGTTGTCATATGGTTCAGGGTATCCCGGAGACAAAATGGTTCCTTTACGTTTAGTTAAAATACCTCCACAGGGCACTGGAAGCAGATACATTAACTATGGAAATGGTTCATGTATCAAAACAGAGATGCAAAGTAATAAAAGCTTACATGACTACAAGCTTCAACAATCTGAGCAGTTTTACAATACAATTCTAGAATTTGAGACAGACCTGAAGAAAGAAATAGGAAGCAAATAAATGACTGAAGAAATATAGCCTTGACACAACAGATCCTCAGTTTCAAATATTGAAAACATATCAAATTACTTCAAAACCTTTTTTTTAAAATGGAGTAAGCTGGAGTAAGTTTTAATTATTTACAGGTAAATTACTTCATTATGCAGTTGTTATAGTTGAACAATTAGGAAAAAAATGATGACTGAAAATTTGACCTAATATGATGATGCTTGGAGGTACTTACAGTTTCCCCTATTAAGAAAATGCACCAATTCTTTAAAATAATAAAATTCAGAAGCAAGTATGAGAGGATATCAAAGGAATTGGAGGTCTCTGTAGACAACCAGTCCATTCATGTGTCTCAGGCAAAATCTGCAGTGTCAGAGCTACACAAAATTTGTAGAGAACCACAGAAATGATTTTGGAAAAGGAAAATGGCAGCTAGAAAAATGTGATTTAAGCCCAAGGAAAAAAGGGGCTAGGCAGATTCCACCTCCAAACTTAACTCTCTTTTGTTAGAAGAGGGAGGACTGGGAAATGCTGTCAGGCTTTATAACGGTATAGGCAAGGGTGGAGAACTTCTAGCTAAGATTCTGTGCAGCTTAGAGAACCCCCAACTCCCACTTCTGGCTGGCCTCGCCTACCCTGCCTCTCCCAGGAACATGTTTTGGATGCAGGTAAGTGCAAGGTGTGAGTGGAGGTTCAGGGAGGGCAAAAAACGGGCCTATGGGAAGTTTGTGAAGGCTGCAAAGGGCCATTTCCAGCCTCCAGAAGGCCTCCGGAGCCTGGGGAGGGCAAAAATTCCCCCTTCCCCACCATGGTGCAGGAGGCCAACAGCCATACCCACCATGGCCACGCCCACGCCCACCCAGCAACCGGGCAGAGAATCCCTTGCTAATTTTTTTGAAGCCCACCCCTGGCCAGGTAAGGAAACATATTGCACTCAAATATTGGGGCTATTGATAGAGATCAAAGGAATAATGAAATCTCTTGCCCCTATAGGTGTTTCCAAGATACATTCATTGCAATAGTCACATTCATTACTCAAGGTCTTCTCTGTGGTTCTCCACAACTCCATGTAGTCTTGAGACTTGAGGTTATGTTCCTTGGCACAGAAGATGTATAGAACATCTGAATGAGCAGCCAAGTAGAAAAGCTGGGCCATAAACCTCAGTCAGTAAAGAGTGAGGTTATCAAGATGTAATGCTGTTACCATAAATATTTATTTGGGTGATCTAGGCTGGGAAATTCTTCCTTTGGAGATAATATTGCAGAAGATCTTCCATTTCATCCTGAAGTCTCGCCAAAAATTAAATATGCAATAATACATAATAATTCAATGGGAATTAAGAGCGAGATCTTAGTGAACTCTTGGAAACTTTAAAAACAATTACCCAGAAAATGAACTTGGGAACACTGTTGTGTAGTGTATTCTATATAATGTGATGCTGAAGAACTGCTGTATGATATGTAGGGCTTGAATTACATAACTCTGAGGCTTTTAAATTTTATCAGTGATATTAATACAGCTAAATTACCCTTCGGACTTTTTCAAAACAACAATATCCATATATATTCCTTGCATATAACATAAATATGATTTGCATCCAGCACAGATATCTATCCCAGTGACAGTAATATTAGACCTAAATAGAAAGAATGCAGTTGGGTCTTGCATTGATATTTAATGCTAAACATGAATGATACTTTCAGTCAAGCCACTAGACATTCTAATATAATCACATTAGCCTGTCATCTAAATACAGACATTCTGCTAGAGTTTTAATAGCTTGAAAAAATGATTGATGAGAAGTTTTATCAGCACTATTAGTAGCCAATATATCATTCTGGCAGAAGAGCATTATTAAGTCCTGTGGCTCATTTCATTAGATACAAATATGAGAACTTGAAGAATATGCAGAAGAAGGAAACTTATCTGAGTAATGAATACAAGAGTTACATTTTGTAGTGCACATAACTAATAAAATCTGTCAAGGACTACATGAATAAACTAAAGGTCAGTGTCACTTAAACAGTTTAAATAATTACTGGTAAAATCAAGAGCAGACACAATGACTGATAATTGATACCTGTAAGGAAACACTGAGGTATTTGCCAGTAAGCCGTGACCGTGTATAGCATTTCAATTGCTAAATTCATTGTCTAACTCAGTGATGGGATTCAAATAATTTAACAACCGGTTCTCTGCCCTAATGACCAGCTGGGTAGGCGTGGATTGGTGGTCATGTAACAGAGGGCATGGCCAACTCAACATCACTCACATTGATGGGTGCTTTGCCTTAGCTGTTACAATGCAATAAGGGTAAANGTTAGATTATATTCCTAACAACTGTTACATGTTTCATCCATAATCGTGTAGTTGGATGGCCAGGTCGTGGAATTTCGTGATAATGATGATTCCATCAATAATCTTGAAGACTTAGAAATCTGTAAGAGTAGGGGATTGGAACATTATGTCCCATTTTTCCGGCAAAGGGCTGATTCCTCTCCCCCCCCCCCTTCAACCATTCAGGGAGAATGAAAAGGGAAATGAACGGAACATTTACAAGAAAATGATTTTCAGATAATTTTTGCTCTAGCTTTAGTGTGGTGGCAGAACTGAGAGTTGACTTGGTGCCACTCTATCAGAGCAGCTCCACTGAAATTAATGAGACTTACAATGAGAGCTGGATAGAGGTCATCCCTAAGAGACCAAGCAACATAATTTGACTAGGAATGTGAATTTTGCCAGACTTTGGCCCATAACCATTGGAAGTAACACATTAATTAAACTTAACACCGGTGAAACAATTGGGGTAATTTGGACTGATGGATGTTAAGGTAAGGTCATCTGCAAGCAGCCTCAGTAACATCAGAATTCAGATTTCTAAGAGCAGCTACACGTTTGAGGAGCAGCAAATGAACACATAAGTGTGATTTTTTTCAAAGAACTACCTAGATGGCTTTGCAGACATAATCATTTGCTCTCCGTTTATAAGATTCTATATGAAAATTAATAATGTATGCGGATGTTTGTAATTCTCCATAAATATACATACCTCTGCTAATCCATGAAGTTAATAATAAGTTCCTTCTGGAAAAAGCAATTATGTTGGGAAGAGTTAGCTGTAAGGGGAAACCAGGCTGCCAAAGAACATGGTGGGTGGACACCATGAAAGCTGACACCAGCCAGACCATAGAGAAACTCATAGAAGTAGTCTCAAACATGCTTTTTCAAAGGCAACTGAAGTTTCTTTGTTTTTCCTTGAAGACGTCTCGCTTCTCATCGAAGAAACTTCATTAGTTCTTGGGTGAGAAGGGAAAGTCTTCAAGGAAAAACAAAGAAAGTCCAGTTGATTTTTGAAAAAGACAATCATGATTTAGAATCTCCATAGACATTCAAAGAAGTAATGTAACAGCGGAAGATGTGGAGAGACCTGGCCCAAAGAATCGCCAAGAGTTGGAGAAGGCTGCATAGATATCATCATCATCANTGCACCATCCACCACCAAGCCTTGTTCTGCTGGCAACCTGCCATACCACCTATTTCCTGGCCTTCCTGTGCAAATCTACCTTGGGCTAGCCCTTAAATGGCCTCCCCTTTTTTCATGGGGTATACCACCACCATAGATATGGCACCCAGCTTTGCTTTCTTGCGACGCTTGCTACTTTCAGCTTAATGTTGTTTTCAGCTAATAGTTTTGGAGCTAAGACAGCAACTAGCAATGCGGGAGTCATGGTGCTCTTGGTGGTTTTCTTGCAAACATTTCATTACCCAAACTGGGTATCAGGACCCCTCATTTCAACCCTGAAAGAAATATTCTCTTTTATCAGCATTAGGACAATGCTATGACATTGTACTTTATGACCACCATTGTTTAGTGATGGCAATCTCTGCCTCTGAAATAATTTTGCTTAACATAAATTCAAAAAAGATTGCTGAATAGTAACAAAAAAAAGAAAGGAAAGGAAAACTGTGTTTTTCAAGATTCTTGTAAGAAATAAGTAGGAAATTGAATTTATGAGGTAAAGTACAGAAATGATAGAATATAACATTTTCAAAACCCTCTTTGTGAAAATTGCTTAGGTGGAAATAAGCAATTTTTACAAGTTGCCGGTGTTGAAAAACATATGTCCACATTTAGTGGGATATTTCAATATTGGGGGTTTTTTTGGTCAAAGTTCATTTACTTTAAAATTAAATTGAAATTGAAGAATAGCATGAGTTTTTTTATATAGATAGTTATTTTTGTGTACACATACAATCCATTTTTCAGAAAGGAAAAGAAAACAATTTAGAAGATATACATATAGCACTGAATGTACACAAGTATGTGTTTATGTGTATGCATTTCAACAAAAATAATATAACTATAAAAAGAATTGATGGACCATATAGCGCTATGGGAAGTAAGAACGCAAAGATCACACTATAGATAACCACTGTCACCCTAACATCATATAAATCATTATATCATTACAATTTTACATAATTTTGTAACACATGCAAAAGGTCATCCACAATGAAACACACATTTTATACACTTTTGAATTACATATTTGTGATTCATGACAGACAGAACTTCTTTAAGGTAGACATTTTTAATACAAATCAACACAATAATACATACCACTGATCGGATTGCCTATACCTTCCATTATACCCGACATAAATAACATGTTCTCAAAAGTAAAATTCAGATCTCTCTCCCTCTGCCTCTCCCTCCCTCCCTCTCTGCCTCACCATCCCTGCCTCCCTCTTTCTTTCATATTAATGAATACAAAAGCTTAAGAAGTTCCTGCATCAATAACCCATATCTATTATGCAGAGAAAAGACAATTATTTGTCACAAAACAAGT